TTCCATTTTACAAACAAACAATTGAATTAAATTTTATAGTTCCTTAATAAAAGCAAAACCTCCAATTGAAAATTCAATACAATTAAATGTAATTATAGTCCCCCAGCCCTGGATGTAAAGATTTCATAACCAGTTAGATGTTTTGATTTTTGTTGTATTTTACTTCCCAAATGACGATAGTTTTATTACTCAATTTTTTATATTATATTACTCTTATTTAATGGTAATGTTGTTGTTATTATTATTTAAATTCTAGTTAACATTAATTCTACCACTACATAAACAAAAATAATAAAATCAGATTTGGAATCTTTTTCTCTATATAGATTTTGTAATCTATATATTTGTGTTGCTGTAGATGTTATTACTGTCATTATTTGTTGTTGTTGTTAATATCCGTTAATGTTTTAATTCACAAAATGATATCCGAAAAAAACTATAACAATAATAAAAAAACCAGTTGTTTTCAATTCATAAAATGATGATGAATACACGTTATAAAAGAAATAAAAACAAAACCAAAAGCAAAAAAAAAAAGGCTAAATCTAAATTTTATTATGTTTAAATGAATATTTTCTTGTTGTTGTTTTATTCACATGTGTGGGCGTTCGTCGTTCGTTCATTTATACGTTCGATCATTTAAATGTTAATCAATTGCTAGTGACTGTTTAGTTGTCAGTTGATGAATTTAAGCATAAACAACAATATTATTTGTTGTTTTTCATCTTCGTCTTCTTTGCAATATCTTTTTCTCAGTCTCTTCTTCTACAAACAGTATTTTATTGTATAATAGAGGCAAATCGAACAAAAAATCGAAATCAAATACAAAGGAAAATAAATGAATGAATGAATGAATGAATGAATGAACAAGATTCTCTTATGTAAACAACATGAAAAACAAAATATTACGTTGTGTCTACAATTTTTTTGACATTAATATTATTGACGTTGTTTTTTTCTATTTTTTTTTCATCATGCGCATGTTATTCTGTTGTTTTTCGTTTTGTATCTATTTTGTCTTACACATTTTTGTTAATAAATGAAAATGGAAAATTCATTGAATTCTTGGATTTTTATTTAAAAAAAGTAACACTGATTGCACTTGAAAGTTTAACTTAATCAAATTAATTTGTAATAACATGAATGTCAACTTTCAGTTATCGGCTTAAATAACCTTGAGGACTGTATATATTTGAAAAGTCCTCTATTTTGAAATAATAAATCAAATCTAGTATCTAGTTTATAGACTATAGACTAGACTATAGACTAGACTATAGACTAGACTATAGACTAGACTATAGACTAGTCTATAGTCTAGTATATAGTCTATAAACTAGATACTAGATTTGACTGTAGACTAGACTGTAGACTAGACTGTAGACTAGATTACAGATTATACTATAGACTAGACTATAGACTAGACTATAGACTAGACTATAGACTAGACTATAGACTAGGCTATAGACTAGACTATAGACTAGACTAGACTGCAGACTAGACTATAGACTAGACTGCAGACTAGACTATAGACTAGACTACCGACTAGACTATAGACTAGACTACCGACTAGACTATAGACTAGACTATCGACTAGACTATCGACTAGACTATAGACTAGACTATAGACTAGATTATAGACTAGACTATAGACTAGACTATAGACTAGACTATAGACTAGACTATAGACTAAACTATAGACTAGACTATAGACTAGACTATAGACTAGACTATAGACTAGACTATAGACTAAACTATAGACTAGACTATAGACTAGACTATAGACTAGACTATAGACTAGACCGTAGACTAGACTATAGACTAGACTATAGACTAGACTATAGACTAGACTGTAGACTAGACTATAGACTAGACTATAGACTAGACTATAGACTAGACTATAGACTAGACTATAGACTAGACTATAGACTAGACTATAGACTAGACTGCAGACTAGACTATAGACTAGACTACCGACTAGACTATAGACTAGACTATCGACTAGACTATAGACTAGACTATAGACTAGATTATAGACTAGACTATAGACTAGACTATAGACTAGACTATAGACTAGATTATAGACTAAACTATAGACTAGACTATAGACTAGACTATAGACTAGACTATAGACTAGACTATAGACTAGACTATAGACTAAACTATAGACTAGACTATAGACTTGACTATAGACTAGACTATAGACTAGACTATAGACTAAACTATAGACTTGACTATAGACTATAGACTAGACTATAGACTATACTATAGACTAGACTATAGACTAGACTATAGACTAGACTATAGACTAGACTATAGACTAGACTATAGACTAGACTATAGACTAGACTATAAACTAGACTATAGACTAGACTATAGACTAGACTATAAACTAGACTATAGACTAGACTATAGACTAGACTATAGACTAGACTATAGACTAGACTATAGACTAGACTGTAGACTAGACTACCGACTAGACTATAGACTAGACTATCGACTAGACTATCGACTAGACTATAGACTAGACTATAGACTAGATTATAGACTAGACTATAGACTAGACTATAGACTAGACTATAGACTAAACTATAGACTAGACTATAGACTAGACTATAGACTAGACTATAGACTAGACTATAGACTAAACTATAGACTAGACTATAGACTTGACTATAGACTAGACTATAGACTAGACTATAGACTAAACTATAGACTTGACTATAGACTATAGACTAGACTATAGACTATACTATAGACTAGACTATAGACTAGACTATAGACTAGACTATAGACTAGACTATAGACTAGACTATAGACTAGACTATAGTGTAGACTATAGACTAGACTATATACTAGACTATAGACTAGACTATAGACTAGACTATAGACTAGACTATAGACTAGACTATAGACTAGACTGTAGACTAGACTGTAGACTAGACTATAGACTAGACTATAGACTAGACTACAGACTAGACTATAGACTAGACTATAGACTGACTATAGACTAGACTATAGACTAGACTATAGACTAGACTATAGACTAGACTATAGACTAGACTATAGACTAGACTATAGACTAGAATATAGGCTAGACTATAGACTAGACTATAGACTAGACTATAGACTAGACTATAGACTAGACTATAGACTAGACTATAGACTAGACTATAGACTAGACTATAGACTAGACTATAGACTAGACTATAGACTAGACTATAGGACTAGACTATAGACTAGACTATAGACTAGACTATAGACTAGACTATAAACTAGACTATAGACTAGACTATAGACTAGACTATAGACTAGACTATAGACTAGACTATAGACTAGACTATAGACTAGACTATAGACTAGACTATAGACTAGACTATAGACTAGACTATAGACTAGACTATAGACTAGACTATAGACTAGACTATAGACTAGACTATAGACTAGACTATAGACTAGACTATAGACTAGACTATAGACTAGACTATAGACTAGACTATAGACTAGACTATAGACTAGACTATAGACTAGACTATAGACTAGACTATAACTAGACTATAGACTAGACTATAGACTAGACTATAGACTAGACTATAGACTAGACTATAGACCTAGACTATAGACTAGACTATAGACTAGACTATAGACTAGACTATAGACTAGACTATAGACTAGACTATAGACTAGACTATAGACTAGACTATAGACTAGACTATAGACTAGACTATAGACTAGACTATGACTAGACTATAGACTAGACTATAGACTAGACTATAGACTAGACTATAGACTAGACTATAGACTAGACTATAGACTAGACTATAGACTAGACTATAGACTAGACTATAGACTAGACTATAGACTAGACTATAGACTAGACTATAGACTAGAACTATAGACTAGACTATAGACTATAGACTATAGACTAGACTAGACTAGACTATAGACTATACTATAGACTAGACCTATAGACTAGACTATAGACTAGACTATAGACTAGACTATAGACTAGACTATAGACTAGACTATAGACTAGACTATAGACTAGACTATAGACTAGACTATAGAAGACTATAGACTAGACTATAGACTAGACTATAGACTAGACTATAGACTAGACTATAGACTAGACTATAGACTAGACTATAGACTAGACTATAGACTAGACTATAGACTAGACTATAGACTAGACTATAGACTAGACTATAGACTAGACTATAGACTAGACTATAGACTAGACTATACTAGACTATAGACTAGACTATAGACTAGACTATAGACTAGACTATAGACTAGACTATAGACTAGACTATAGACTAGACTATAGACTAGACTATAGACTAGACTATAGACTAGACTATAGACTAGACTATAGACTAGACTATAGACTAGACTATAGACTAGACTATAGACTAGACTATAGACTATACTATGACTAGACTATAGACTGGACTATAGACTAGACTATAGACTAGACTATAGACTAGACTATAGACTAGACTATAGACTAGACTATAGACTAGACTATAGACTAGACTAGACTATAGACTAGACTATAGACTAGACTATAGACTAGACTAGACTATAGACTAGACTATAGACTAGACTATAGACTATAGACTAGACTATAGACTAGACTATAGACTAGACTATAGTGTAGTCTATAGTGGAGAAAGGGCACCAAGGAATACTGCATCATTGTAACTTTGGATGTCAAAATTTGCAAGCAAAATGTAAATAAAAGAGAAATTAAATGGAATCATTATAAACACTATAGAATCTGTACAATCCATTCAACCGACAAGTTCAGAACAATCTATTTTGACATAAGTCATTGCGCTTTTAGCTTTATGTTCACCTTTAGGTGTTCAACCTTAATCTTAAACCAAAGATAATTAATTTTACTTATTTAAAGATTACATACAATTAAAAAATATTTTTATAATTTGTTTTTTATTATTTGATTATTAACAAATTATTATTTTTAATTCTTTTCATCGTAGATCAAAGTCAACTTTAATTACTTCAATTGAACAATGAATTGAAAGTCCAAAGACGTTTTCAATGGCTATTATAAACAAATTAAAGGTAAATTAATTTATTAATTATTAATTAATTTATAATATGAGTTATGTAAAATATTAATCATTAAGATGACAAAACAAAAATGTCCGTTCAAACTAAATTGTAATGGACACTAGTTAGAGTTGCCAGCATCTACTCTCTGAGAAAATATTATATTAAGAAAGTAACTAAGAATCGGATTGAGATAGATTGTTTCTTTCCGAATACTATCCGTTCTCGCGTTTGGTCTTTAATCTATATTAAGAAATATCACAAGATTTAAAGTAAATTCCCATAAAACTAAAGAATAAAATGAACATCATTTCAATTAATTTTTATAATAGTTCAACTTACTTTTGTATTACTATTTTTTTATTATTTATTATTACAGTTTTTTATTGTTATTTGTGCACATTTTTTTATGTCTTTGTTCACTAATTGAAAAATTGTTTTGTAAATTGAAAAGATTTTCTTCATTCAATGAGTTTTAACTTGTTGCTCATGTAATAATTTATTAAATCTTTTGTGGTCATGTGGTCTACATGAGGGTCATAGAATGTACTTATAAATTCTTATCCACCAGAGAAATACAATTGCAAATATATTTATAGAAAAAAAAAAGAAATAACTAAAGATATGATTATTTAAATGAAGGATAAATGTTGTGGTAAAACTTTTATTGAATGGTTTTTAATGTTTTTTAATGCAAATACTTTGTTTGGATCTGTGGTTGATAACCATATTAATTTAATATTGATGTAGTCTACGGACTAGTGTATTGAGAAGTCTATGGACTAGTCTTTTGACAAGTAGATGGACGAGTCTATTAACAAGTCTATGGACTAGTCTATTGACAAATCTATGGACTAGTCTATTGACAAGTCTGTGGAATAGTCTTTTGACAAGTATGTGGTACTAGTCTATTGACAAGTTTATGGCTCAGTCTATTGACAAGTATATGGCTCAGTCTATTGACAAGTATATGGACAATTCTATGGAATAGTCTATTGACTAGTCGATGGAATAGTCTATTGACAAGTCTATGCAATAGTCTATTGACAACTCTATGGACTAGTCTATTGACAAGTCTATGGACAAGTCTATGTACTAGTCTATTGACAAGTCTATGGACTAGTCTATTGACAAGTTTGTGGACTAGACTATTGACAAGTCTTTGGACTAGACTATTGACAAGTCTATTGTTAATTCTATTGACTAGTCTATTGACTAGTCTATTGACAATTCTATGTATAAGTCTATGGACTAGTCTAGTCTATAGTCTAGTCTATAGTCTAGTCCATAGTCTAGTCCATAGTCTAGTCCATAGTCTAGTCCATAGTCTAGTCTATGGTCTAGTCTATAGTCTAGTCTATAGTCTAGTCTATAGTCTAGTCTATAGTATAGTCTTTAGTCTAGTCTATAGTCTAGTCTATAGTCTAGTCTATAGTCTAGTCTATAGTCTAGTCTATAGTCTAGTCTATAGTCTAGTCTATAGTCTAGTCTATAGTCTAGTCTATAGTCTAGTCTATAGTCTGGTCTATAGTCTAGGTCTATAGTCTAGTCTATAGTCTAGTCTATAGTCTAGTCTATAGTCTAGTCTATAGTCTAGTCTATAGTCTAGTCTATAGTCTAGTCTATAGTCTAGTCTATAGTCTAGTCTATAGTCTAGTCTATAGTCTGGTCTATAGTCTAGTCTATAGTCTAGTCTATAGTCTAGTCTATAGTCTAGTCTATAGTCTAGTCTATAGTCTAGTCTATAGTCTAGTCTATAGTCTAGTCTATAGTCTAGTCTATAGTCTAGTCTATAGTCTAGTCTATAGTCTAGTCTATAGTCTAGTCTATAGTCTAGTCTATAGTCTAGTCTATAGTCTAGTCTATAGTCTAGTCTATAGTCTAGTCTATAGTCTAGTCTATAGTCTAGTCTATAGTCTAGTCTATAGTCTAGTCTATAGTCTAGTCTATAGTCTAGTCTATAGTCTAGTCTATAGTCTAGTCTATAGTCTAGTCTATAGTCTAGTCTATAGTCTAGTCTATAGTCTAGTCTATAGTCTAGTCTATAGTCTAGTCTATAGTCTAGTCTATAGTCTATCTATAGTCTAGTCTATAGTCTAGTATATAGCGTAGTCTATAGTCTAGTCTATAGTCTAGTCTATAGTCTAGTCTATAGTCTAGTCTATAGTCTAGTATAGCCTAGTCTATAGTCTAGTCTATAGTCTAGTCTATAGTTAGTCTATAGTCTAGTCTATAGTCTAGTCTATAGTCTAGTCTATAGTCTAGTCTATAGTCTAGTCTATAGTCTAGTCTATAGTCTAGTCTATAGTCTAGTCTATAGTCTAGTCTATAGTCTAGTCTATAGTCTAGTCTATAGTCTAGTCTATAGTCTAGTCTATAGTCTAGTCTATAGTCTAGTCTATAGTCTAGTCTATCTAGTCTATAGTCTAGTCTATAGTCTAGTCTATAGTCTGGTCTATAGTCTAGTCTATAGTCTGGTCTATAGTCTAGTCTATAGTCTAGTCTATAGTCTAGTCTATAGTCTAGTCTATAGTCTAGTCTATAGTCTAGTCTATAGTCTAGTCTTTAGTCTAGTATATAGTCTAGTCTATAGTCTAGTCTATAGTCTAGTCTATAGTCTAGTCTATAGTCTAGTCTTTAGTCTAGTCTATAGTCTAGTCTATAGTCTAGTCTATAGTCTAGTCTATAGTCTAGTCTATAGTCTAGTCTATAGTCTAGTCTATAGTCTAGTCTATAGTCTAGTCTAGTCTATAGTTTAATCTATAGTCTAATTTATAGCCTAATTTATAGTCTAATCTATAGTCTATAGAGTGGTTTTGTTTGTGTTCTAATCTATAGTTTAATCTATAGTCTAATATATAGCCTAATTTATAGTCTAATCTATAGTCTATAGAGTGGTTTTGTTTGTGTTCTAGACAATAGATTAGACTAGAACAGAAACAAAACCACTCTATAGACTCAGAGAACGTATGCTTATTCTCTCTCTCTTTCTCTGCCGATACCAGTTTTATAGAAGAGATAGCGAAGCTCTCTCTTCCGTTCTTCTTTAAATGTCACCTACATTTTCAAATTTAATTTTAAAATGTTAAAAAAAATTATTCGACCGAAAATTAAACTGCACTTTTTCGAGATAAATTACATGGACTTGTAAAAAATTTGGTGATTTTATTACTTTTGATTAAAAAAAGTTCCTTAAACTTTTAATAATCTTCAAAATGTTTTCTTCCATGACAAGACACTCGCTTCTTCATGATTAATTCGCAATTGTTTTTTTATTTTCTTCTGACATTTCTGTACTCAATGTCAAGGTAATAATTGTTGAGTTTAAATTTCAATATCTCTGTTTTTTTTGTTTTAATTTTTAGTACTCATATAAATATTTTTTGTTTTCTTAATGCGCTTTTAAATATTGAATTTTCAAAGTTAACAAGTAAATAAAGATAACACAACAAGTGTTTTATTTTGTATTGTTTTAATTTGTATTATTATTGTTGTTTTCAACAATTAAAAACAGATAATTTAATTAACAAACAATTAACAAATTTCTGACTCGAGATGATGTCTGTATGTCTGTCTGTCAGTTAGACAATGTTTGCTTATTTTTTTCAGTTTGTTTTAATTTTTGCACGATCTCTGTGTGTACCATGGCCAAACAAAAGCTTTTTTTTTATCAATTTCTAGTGAATGTAAAGATAGCACTTATTGTTTGGCTACATAAGAACTTTAGTGTTAGAAAGAGAAAGAAAGAGAGAGATACAAATGACAAGTCATTTAGAAAAACATTTGTTTAAACTTGAAAATTAGAATCTAGTGATCTTAAAGGTGATCTTTTCAACAGAATTCTTCTTCTGGGATTTCAAATAAGATTTCTGCAATTAAACTTGTATTTGATAAATATTTGTAGAACTTGGAAATCTAGCGATCTGCCTGGTGATCCTCATCTGTTAAGAATTCTTCTTTTGGAGTTTCAACTTTAGGATTTACGTTTACGTGAACATTTCCATAATCAAATTGACTGAAGAATCACATAAGTATAATACTCTACGGGTCCACCACATCTTTATGATTTAATTTAGAAGCAAGATCATTGATCTTTACTAAAACTTTAAGATAGACATCACCTTTGAAAATGTGTGGATCAATGATTTCCGATCAGTTACTTTTCTGTTACGAAATTTGGAATCTAGTTACCGAAACTTGCAGTTATTCTACTTAAGAAACAAATTCTCCAATACATTGACCGCTTTCAGCTTAAAACCTTCAGTATAGACTAAGATCGTGTTATATACAGTTTGAAACCTGTGCAACTGTTATCAGCATTTTGAAGAACAATATTTGTTTGAATAAAACTCCAGATTAAGTTTTTCTGATCAAATTTAAGACAAATTGTGAGTTATCCTTTAAGTTTCAGTATATGTAGATTAAGATCGCATCATACCGGATGATAATCATACCAAGACATTCATGTGTTATTAATATTCTGAAGCAGAATTCATATATTTTCGAAAAATTTGAATTCTTGACAAAAACTCGCAGGAATTGAGTAGTATTCTAACCATAGTCTTGACTATAGAACTGTCTATATTCTTGACTATAGAACTGTCTATAGTCTTGACTATAGAACTGTCTATAGTCTTGACTATAGATCAGTCTAAAGTCTTGACTATAGATCAGTCTATAGGCTTGACTATAGAACTGTCTATAGTCTTGACTATAGTTCGGTCTATAGTCTTGACTATAGAACTGTCTATAGTCTTGACTATAGAACTGTCTATAGTCTTGACTATAGAACTGTCTATAGTCTTGACTATAGAACTGTCTGTCGTCTTGACTATAGAACTGTCTATAGTCTTGACTATAGAACTGTCTATATTCTTGACTATAGAACTGTCTATAGTCTTGACTATAGAACTATCTATAGTCTTGACTATAGAACTGTCTATAGTCTTGACTATAGAACTGTCTATAGTTTTACTGTAGTTCAGTCTATAGTCTTGACTATAGATCTGTCT